CGATTAATCGCATCCAAAATAAAAGTTTTTGTTTACATAATATGTGTGTGTACTGTGTATATTTATTATGTATATATAAATACACACTCATACAGTCAATATTTTGAAAATATTTACATGTATATATTTATATTTATATAATTTATATTATATATAAATATATTTAATATACAAATATACATTTTTTCTGAAATATATACATGCATGTGTGTGTATTTATATATACATAATAAATATACACAGCACACACACATATATTATGTAAACAAAAACGTTTATTTTGGATGCGATTAATCGTTTCACAATAAATAAATAAATATATACATATAAAAAAAATTTTTTAACTGATGAATTGCGTACAATAAGACCTATTAGTAAATGCACATACATATTATATAGCATATAACATAGTATATAATTAGTTCAATAAAATCCTATGGAAGCCTGTTTCCGCCACTGAATAAAAAAGAAAACACAATCTAATTGTGCCTTCTTATAAAGTCACAGTTCTGAGAAATAAAGTCAGAATTGTGAGATAAAAAGTTTTTTTTAATTCAGAAATGGGCTTCCATAAACCCCAATCAATTCAATCAACCCTACATTATGCATCCCTAAATTCTGTTTTACCCGTAAGTTCATCACATTATGGAAGTTTAATGAGTTGCAAATACTATTTTATGTTATCTGTAAATACCTTATCTTATACAAGTAAATAAGAGAGCGAGTGAATACCTTTGCAGCAGTGGAATCTCCATCTACAAAAACAACACAGATCAAAATGCTGATTATATGAATGATGCAATTAATATCTGATGTATTGTAACTACACCCATTTCACAACCACTACAGTAAAACACCCAGATTCACGTCTGGAGCTCTAAACCCCAACCTTATATAGACACTAATGAACTGATGTGATATCAAACAGCCACACAGGCCACAAGAGATGCAGCACACACACACAGCTTTAAGTGCAGGGGTCATCAGTGCCGCGTCTATCTCTGTCTGTGTGTGTGTGTGTGTGTGTGTGTGTGTGTGTGTGTGAGAGAGAGAGAGAGAGAGTGTGTGTGTGTGTGTGTGTGTGTGAGAGAGAGAGAGAGAGAGAGAGAGAGAGTGTGTGTGTGTGTGTGTGTGAGAGAGAGAGAGAGAGAGAGAGAGAGAGTGTGTGTGTGTGTGTGTGATCGCGTAGCTTGTCAGTTACTGTCTAGAGTGCGTGGAATGGTGCGCTGTGATTGTTTGAGCGGATTTATCGCATTCTGCAGAGAAGGGAGACTGGCGTTTGTCGCGGTTTAGAAAGAAAGGGAGAAAACATGACAGAATAACACAACGGATATCACATTTTGCATAAAATTAAAAATGGACTTTTCAATACCGACCAGATACAATACACATTTTTTTTAAATGGCGTTTATCATGTTTTGGAACCAAACTATATATTGGGTTCCAAAACATGATAATCGCGATTAATCACATCCAAAATAATTTTTTTTGTTTACATAATATATGTGTGTGTGCTGTGTATATTTATTATGTATATATAAATACACAC